CGGCAAAGCAAATCATAAATATTATATTGAAAATATATTCGTCGTTTACAAATTTAGTTAGAGTATTCAGAAAATTTACTCGTTTATTGAGGAATTGTTCAAGCAAAAGTAAACGTACATGCGGCGAATTAATAACCATCAGCATTGAGGTTCGTTCAGAAATAGTTATATTAACACGAACCGAAATGAAATATATATTAAAAAAATTACTAATAAAAGTTAAATCAGATGTAAAAATTTTCTACCCATTGTTAGACGCATTTTGCGCATTCGCGTTGTAATAAGTTTTTAGATTTAAATTACTATAATCGTTACCCAGATGTGCTACTAAAAATAATGCGCATACTTCGCTGATTGCCAGATGTAAACTTATTACATTTTTTCATTATGCAGCTCACCATTTATTATATACGCACAGAGATTGTGCATATTGGCTAATCAGCGATAGAAATGCAGTTTCGTTTGTTTGCAAGTCGTAAGTCGTATTCCGATGGGTAACGTATCAAAAAATCATGGGACTTTGCAATTACCACCCAGGCATTGTGAGATAGACTTCGATTATTTTAATAGACCCTCGTACTAGAGGTTATAGAAAAATCAAAAGAGACATGTTTATTTGTATGCTTCAGTACGAGAGCTGTTCATTTATTTTTTATATCAAATTCAATGTTAGAATATTGTTCAGCTACCCTCAGACGATTTATTATTCGTCGAGGAAAATCTATTGTTAGCATTTGGCCAGACAGCGGTAAAAAATTTTTGAAGCGTCCTTGGCAATTAAAGAACCAGCTATATTTTATAAATAAACTAAGTGAAGTGTACAAAATAATGGAACAAAACAATTTTATGACAAACAATTTAATACAATTCAATAACCTTCAATTAGTGACATGAGTTAGTGAAGTTTAAATTATTTACTTTGGTATACTTTCTTAATTACTTTTTCAATTACTTATATTATTAGGCTTATAATTAATGTATCATTAGTTTCGAAATAATATTAGTATTATTTCAAGGTGCCCGCCATGTTAAGAATTCGTAATAGTGTCGTCATGAACTATTTTTTGTAAGGGTCGTTTGTTAAGCTAGACTAGAGTGTCGCCGGACACTGTCTACATGTCGTTCATAGTTCAAGTACTAAATGCATTAGTAACATAAGATATTTTTAATTTTGATGTAAGTTATTTGTCTGGACTGTCTATATCCGCGTCGATGATTTTATTTATGGGTCTGCAAAATGCATTCAGATAATTTCAAGGAATCTTTCTTCTCAGATATATTAAGTCCAAGAAATCATCCCCCGCAGATGTACAAATTAATGTAACCCGCCTCTTACGGGCGGGGCTAATATTGTTAATCTTAATTTTTAAAAAAATTTATTTAGTATAAGTTCAGAGTTCAGTATAGAAACACCAACTATCTGATGCCATTATACTCATCATATTTTATTATAATAAACCTATATTAATTTCAAACGTCGCCTTTTACTTAAATAATCACCGATCACACCAGTACTTCAATTATAGAACAAATTTAAAAGTGTAGTGGTTAGAAGTAAAACGACAACACCCAGTTAGACGTCGAAGTAATTTTTAAGCTTCGCGCCTTAACAATTAGTGTCGAAGCATTCCCTCTGTACTCGTTGTTTACTACCTGCACATGATGTTAAAAAATGTAGTTTCAAAGGTACGTGTTACAGATGTAGAGAGCCTCACAATACCTTAAATTCATGATGATGTTAATCCTTCAGATTCAAATAGCCTACCCCCTTCTAGCTAGTCACAATAACATACAAATACTTCTTTCAACGGTTTCTCTTTATGTTTTCGATGCAAATGGTAAAACCCACCAGGTGAGGGCTCTACTGGATAGTGGCTCACAAATAAACTTAATAACAATTCATCAATACAAAAATTAAAATGTCCTACAATAGCTTCTTTAAGTAAAATGAACATGTTGCAAGCGCAATCATGTGTGAGTCAGAAAGCTGGTAAAATTAAAATCAAATCTAGAATTTCAGAATATCAACGCACCATTCATTGCGTAGTTGTTGATTACATTACACAAAATTTACCGAGTAGTTGCATAGACTATAAAGATTGAAAAATACCCAATTATGTAGACTTAGCCGATCCAGAATTTAATGTCGCGTTACCTGTAGAATTATTAATAGGTTCTGAGTTATATTTTGATATCTTGCAACGGGGCTGCGTACAGTTGCGACATTGTCTACCAGTACTAAGAAAAAGTCACTTTGGCTGGTTGTTGTCAGGGATTTATAAACAGTCGGATGCTGTAGCTCATGTTGGTTTTGTTTCGAATGAAGACTTGCACAATAACCTAACAATGTTTTGGCAAATTGAGGAGGTATGTTCAAGCAATGCCACAATGAATGGGTCGGATAAGTTGTGCGAGGAGCATTTTGTGTCCAACGTAAGTAGAAAAAATAATGGCATATTCGAGGTTGCCTTACCCTTTAAATCAGATAAGAAAAGCAGCTTAGGAGAATCATTCAATAGGGCAAAATGCAGGTTGGAAAATTTAGAAAGAAGTTTTACCCGAGATACGAAATTAGCTAAGGCATACAATGAGTTCATCCAAGAATACATCAGATTAGGACATGCAGAGCTTATTGACTTGAAGAAGGTTCCAGTAGGGTCATACTTTATACCGCATCATGCAGTATTAAAGGATGGGCGTTATGAAAAGATCAGGGTTGTATTTGATGCATCTTGTAAGACAAGTTCTGGCCTATCTTTAAATGAGACATTACACACTGGAGCTAAACTTCAGCAAGATTTATTTTCAATCTTGATTAGATTTCGCTGTCATCTGTATGTTTTTGTTGCTGACATAGTAAAAATGTATAGGCAAATACGAGTTCGGGAAGTAGACCAATACTATCAACTCATTCTTTGGAGAACATCACCTGAGTCTGAAATAGAAGTCTTTAAGCTCACTACCGTTACGTATGGAACCGTATGTGCTCCTTTCTTAGCGATGCGTTGTCTAAAAATGTTGACGTCTAATGAAAATTTATTATACCCTCGAGCTGCTGAAATCTTAGATAGGGATTGCTACGTGGATGATATAATTACAGGTACAAATTTCGTAGCAGATTTAATTAGTCTACAGAGAGATATAACTCAGTTACTTGGGGGGTGGGGGAGGCTTTGCATTGCATAAATGGGCAAGCAACTCCAGTGAACTTATCAATTCTATACCACATCACAAACTAGACATGACAATTTCAAATTTTCAACTACAACCTGAGACCGTAAAGACATTGAGAATAGCGTGGAACCCAACAAGTGACATATTAAAGATAAATAAGACTGACGCAACCCAAAACTCCAGGACAGTACCAAGTGACACGAAAAGATTTGTGTTATCTTCAATAGCTCAAATCTATGTCCCGATAGGACTGATTGCACCCATAACAATCACTGCAAAAATAATCATGCAGAACCTTTGGAAAAAGAAAATTGACTGGGATGATGTGATCCCAGAATCTATTCAAAAAGAATGGAACAAATGTCGTGATGGGTTATCACATCTCATATTCCAGGTTGTATCTTCACAACAAATCCCATTTTAATACAGTGCCATGGGTTTGCTGATGCTTTCCTTAAGGCATATGGTGCTTGTATTTATATAAGAGCCACATGTGAGTTTGGTGTAAGAGCACATTTATTGTGCTCAAAATCGAAAGTAGCCCCCCTTAAGAATATAACACTCCCCCGTTCAGAGTTGTCTGCAGCGTTACTTCTGGCTAAACTGTATAGGCGGGTTCTCACAGACATAGCAGAAATTATTCAAATATCTGAAACATTCTTGTAGAGTGACTTCAGAATTGTTTTGGCATGGTTACGGACTGATCCCTCGCAGTTAAAGATGTTTGTAAGGAATAGGGTTGCGGAGATTTCAGAACTCACGCCAGCAATTATATGGAGGCACGTTCCAAGTAAAGACAATCCTCCAGATATAGTTTCCAGAGGCGTTGATTCTCCTGCAGAGCTGGTTGACTGTAAATTGTGGTGGCATGGACCAGGGTGGTTAACTCAGAATAGCAATAGTTGGCCTAATAGATTTTCCTGTCCAGCTGTAGAGGTCATACCAGACAAACGGGTGGTTATGACGTTGAGTAGTCCTAGTAATGAACGCACTGATATAATGCATGTATTTGGCAAATTTTCTTCTTTCAGTAAATTAGTTCGAGTGGTGTCTTATTGTCTTAGATGGCGTCACAAATGTAAGAAATCCCAAATATTAGGCATCGGACAAACACTATCACCTTACGAATTGCGTCACTCGACAAATGTTATTTTTAAAGTAGTGTAGTGGGAAATGTTTGGCATGATTGCTAAGCTAAGACATCAAATAAAAACCTATCCAGCAAATTGATTCCTCTTAATACCTTCATTGATTCCAATGATTTGCTAAAAGTAGGAGGTCGACTTGAAAATGCAAACATTTCGTTTGAACAAAAACATCCGATCATCCTACCTAAAGGTCACAAGGTTGTCGAAATGTTTTTATTCAAACGAAATGTTTCATTCATTCAATGATTCATTTTTTAAAATACTGAAATCAATATTTCCATATTCAACCGACCTTCAGATCCTCTAACCCATGTGGATGAATTAAGTATTATTAATGAATAACATCACACTCCTTTAGGCGGCCATCAAAGATATAAGCGTACTTTTCACAAAGCTACCATTATGCCGCATCAACATGGACATATTATCTGCCACAAACTGCACATCCCGGATTTTATACCGAATGACTTCCAACTTTGGTTTGCCTTGGTGGAGAAGGCATTCGCGTCTTCCAATATCCACGATGAGAAGGAGAAATATGGATGATTTGTTACAAGACTGAATATTAGACATTCAGCCGAAGGTCGAGATTTGATAATCAATGAGCCTAAGGAGATGCCTTACTCTACATTGAAGGCAGCGTTAATTTCAAGATTAGGCACTTCGGTAAAGTCAAAGATGCAAATGTTGATGACGGATGTAGACTTGGGTGATAGGACACCATCTCAATACCTACGTCATTTGAGGACTTTAGTCGGGAATTCAATGACCGATAACGCAGTTAAAGCAATATGGTTATTCAGACTACCGGTGGAAATTCAATCATTTTTGGAGGTAGCTTCTGTAACACAGTCAATACAAGAGGTAGGTGAACTAGCTGACCGCTTATACATTAACCATTTACAGCAACGTGTAGCTGTGATTACAGATTCGCAAACCTCTGAGAATGAAACAAAGAATGCTGAACTGTGTCAAATGCGTCAAGTTATCGAAGCTATTTCAAAGCGTTTAGATAAGATCCAAATGTATCAGAAGAAGAAAGTGTCATTTAGAAGACGACAAGATAACTTATGTTGGTTTCATAAACGCTACGGAAGTCAGAAGGTGTAATTTTAAGTCAGAAAACGATACGGGCGTTTACTAATGGCGGCTAGTGACAAACGCCCAAGTAACTCTCGCCGCATTTTCATCACAGATAAAGAGACAAATGCGAGTTATCTGATAGACACTGGATCCGATGTATGTGTGTACCCGCGCAGTTTAGTGAAATGTTCCGTAAGAAATGTTCATTTGAGCTTTCAGCAGCGAATGGAACACCGTTAGCTACATACGGTATGTTATCTTTAAAGTTAGATTTTGAACTTAGCAAAACCTTATCATGGAATTTCGTGATAGCAGAGGTGTCGCGTCCTATTATTGGTGTAGATTTACTCGCTTATTTCAATCTCGCGATTGATGTTGAAAAGCGTATATTAGTTGAAACCCCTGCAGATTCAGCGGTTCCACTTCAATCGGAAAATAGAATAATACCTTCCGTTGAAATGATGAGGCACATTATACCCATATGATAAAATTTTAGAGAAATATCCAGACCTAACACGGCAGACTGCATTAGGGGTGTGCAAACTTGTTACTCAACATCATATTAAAACTACATCAGGGCCACTTATAGCATATAAACCACGTCGCCTTGCACCGGGTAAGTTAAAAGCTGCTAAATATGAGTTCGAAGAAATGATTAAAGCAGGGACAGCACGACCGTCCAAGAGCTGTTGGTCATCGCCTTTACATATGGTACGAAAAGGTTCTGCGTGACGACCTTGTGGAGACTATCGCAGTTCGCCATATCCATGATTTTGCGCAAGCATTATGTGGTAAGGTAATATTTTCTACCATCGATTCAGTGAAAGCTTACAATCAAATCCCTGTAGCTGAGGAAGACATTGCAAATACTGCAATCACTACGCCTTTCGGCCTATTCGAATTTCCGTTTATGACACTTGGCTTACGCAATGCAGCGCAAACTTTTCAGCGGTTCATGGATGAAATTTTGCGAGGTTTGGACTTCTGTTATGCATACATCGATGATATATTGGTTGCATCGGAATCGCACGAACAGCATATGTGACATTTACATACTGTATTCAAAAAGTTGCAAGAATTCGGTGTTGTAGTCAATCCAACAAAATGTGTCTTCGGAAAACCAAAAGTAAAGTTTTTAGGATATGAAGTCTCACCCAACGGAACTAAACCTCTAGCAGACAAGATACTAGATATACAAAATTGAGCACAAAGACGAATTACCGGCCGATGCTCGCACGTTATTGGGCACTCCAAAATATGCCACCGATGGTATAAAATTAATTAACGTTAAAAATTAATACATTCATTTTCGGGTAGAAGAAGGTATTCTACATTCCATTGACGAAGAGTTCGGCTAGTGCCTTTTGGCCCATATCTCTGATGTTAGATATTCCACAGAAGGTTGAACCATTTCTGGTAGGGGTGCATCATGGAAATGGTAAACCAGATGATGCATTTTCACATTTTCCTTAAGCCTTTTGTGGAAGAAATGAAAGTGTTACAACATCATGGTTTAATTTTTCTCAATAAAAATTGTCATGTTTATATATCAAAAATAATCTGTGATAGTCCTGCGCGTGCGTTCATTACAAAGACAACTTGGCATGCGGGTTATGAAAGCTGCTCCAAATGTATTCAAAGAGGAGAGTTTTCAACCCATGTCATTTTAAATAACACATTTTCAGATCTTCGAACATTTTGTTCTACCAAATATTTCTGATGATTTTCTACAAGCAACTCAAATTTCTGTTGAAACAAATTTATATAATTTTTGTGTTTCTGCTGTTTATTGTCCACCAAGATTCAAAATTTCTTGTGCTCAGTTTTCTTCATTTTTCTCTCAATTAGGTAATAAATTTATCATTGGTGGTGACTTTAATTGTAAACATATTGCCTGGGGTTCTAGACAGACTACAGCCAAAGGAAAGATTCTTCATGCAGCCATAGGGCAAAATAACCTCTCTTTTATTTCAACTTGCAGTCCAACTTATTGGCCTTCTGACCCTACTAAAGTTCCAGACCTTTTAGATTTTTTTATTGTGAAAGGTATTGATCTTTCAAATCTCAATATTGAATCTAGTTACGATCTCTCTTCAGATCATTCTCCAATACTTGTGACGTTTAGCACATTTCCTACTCCAGTTATCAACAATCATATTCTACACAACAATCTTTCTAACTGGATTCAATTCAAATCCATACTTGATTCAAAATTATTTCCAAAATCTAGGCCTACAAGCGTTATTGATATAGAAAATAATATAGATTATTTTTCTGAGATTGTACGTGAAACAACCAAGCAGATCACCCCGAACATTAATCCAAGAAATGATAATCTAATAATTCCGCAAGAGATTAAGAAGCTAATTGCACAGAAACGAAGAGCAAGACGTACCTGGCAATATTCTCATCTACCAATGGATCTCTTAATTAAACTTAATACCAAGACATCGCTTAATCATCTCAATAACACGCTGAGGAAAAAAATGAAAGAATGGAAGAATTGTACATTCAGGTCGTATATATTGCAGCTAAATAGGTACGATAATTCCATATGAAAACCAATCAGAAACAAAAGTAAACCCCTACAACAAAACCCTCCTCTGAAAATAACCAACCAAAATGGATTCATTTGGGCCAAAAGCAACGAAGAAAAAGCGGAGGCATTTGCTGATCATCTAAGTAGCATTTTTAGCGCTCGAAATATTTCCCAGAATAATTTAATTAACAATTTCATAAATCAACCCATACATTCTACACCGTTAGGACATTTTTCACCAAATGATGTCTTATGTGAAATAAAAAGGATAAAAAATAGATCTTCGCCAGGTATGGATAAAATTACTCCAAAGATGTTAAAAAAATTGCCTACAAAAGGTATTTTATATATAACAAATATTTTCAACGCCATACTTCAATACAATTATTGGCCCACAGCGTGGAAGACTGCAGAAATTATTATGATCGCTAAACCAAACAAAAACCATCACACTGCTAGTTCATACCGTCCTATCAGTCTTTTATCGATATTATCGAAAATTTTAGAGAGACTTTTGTTGCAGAGATTGTCAGAAGATCATCCGAATGATAGTTGGATTCCTCACCATCAGTTTGGCTTCAGAAAAAATCACTCTACAATTCAACAATGCAACAGAACGGTGTCTCGTATTCTTGAAGCCATGAATAGAAAGGAACACAGTGTAGCCGTATTCTTAGATGTCAGTCAGGCTTTTGATAAGGTTTGGCACTCAGGACTCCTATATAAAATCAAAACAACTTTTCCAAACTACTTCAATATCTTAAGCTCATATTTGCTTAATAGAAAATTTAGAATCAAAATTAAAGATGTGACTTCGAGCATCAGAAATATAGAATGCGGGGTACCACAGGGCAGTGTACTAAGCCCTGTACTTTATCTTCTTTTCACAAACGATATGCCCACAGATGATCTTCTAACCATATGCACTTACGCCGATGACATAGCAATTATTTCATGCAATTCCGATATTAGAACAGCAACTTGTCAGTTACAAAATTATTTATCTAGTCTCGAAAAATGGTTTTTAGATTGGAATATCAAAATCAATATCGAAAAATCACAGCACATAATTGTTTCTCTAAAACATCACAACAGTCCACCTATCATCATGAACAATTCAATAATTCCACTATGCAATTCTGTTAAATATTTAGGCATGCACATTGATTCGAAATTGACATGGAGAACGCACATTGAATATAAAAAGAAACAAATCCAACTGAAAATAAAAGATTTTTACTGGCTTTTTGGGAGGAAATCTGAAATCTCTCTCGATAACAAGGTACTTTTGTATAAAACAATCATAGTGCCCATTTGGACTTATGGAATCGAACTATGGGGTTGCTCATGCAAATCTAACATAAACATCATTCAAAGGTGCCAGAATAAAATTCTGCGTATCCTTACTAATGCGCCTTGGTATATTTCGAATTTTTGCCTACATAAGGATTTGAAAATCTCAACAGTCAACGAAATGATCAAGATTAGAAGTTCATCTTTCAACAATAAATTAATCTAGCATACAAATCCAACAATTCAAGCGATCCACAGACCGATAAGAAGATTGAGCAAGAAATGGCCTTCCGATCTACCAAACACCTAGCCCAATGTCTGCACGCGTCCTAACGTAGTACGCGGCATACATCATCACGTCATCGTTCATTTATGTTATTATTTTTGTATTACTGTTTTAATTTAATTTTTAATTTAACTTTTTTCATTTTATATTCAATGTATTGCATTTTTTGTTTTTTTTTTGTATTTTTTTTGCAATCATATCAATTTTGTAAATAAGACATTAAAGTCTTGATTAACAAAAATAAATTGTAACAAAAAAAAAAAAAAAAAAAAGATCTTCGAACGGATGAATCTTTTCGCATGAGGACGAATCCAGGACATCACACAAATGATTCCATTTTGGAGGAATTAAATATCGGAATGGTATCTCAAATAGCACTCTACTACATGCATATGGTCTGCCTAGGTGTCACCAAGAAACTTTTAAGAGTTAAAGAGACTTAAAGACTACATGAACTGAAAAGCCACAGAATTTAGGTTATTTCTATTTTATTTGGGGCCAATTGTCATGCAGCCAGCAATACAGAATGCAAACTACATCAATTTTATACAACTTAATTTGGGTATCAGGATCTTATGTGATCCTGAAACCTGTATCGAGAAAAATGATGTAGATAAAAAATTCCTCATTAAATTTGTAAATGAATACCCCAAAATATATGGCGCTGACAGATTAACGTACAACACCCATAACCTAATACATATTGCAAATGATGTTTTGGCCTTCAAATGTAGTTTGAACGGATTCAGTTATTTTTCCTTTGAAAACTATTTTAAAAGTATTCAAGGGAAGCTTCAGAACTCGCCTAAACCTCTTCAGCAACTGGTTAACAGATTGGCTGAAGAGAAGTTGCTGGAAACCACCATGAGCGCAAATGACTAGCTTTACCCAAGAATACAATATGGAAGGACAAATCTCGTAAAAATACTATTCAAAGGTTTTTTAATAACCAATCGAGCGCAAAACAATTTATGTATAGATTCAGATCATATATTATTGCTAATTCAAAACTATAACTTTTCATTTAGTATCTTTAAAAAATTCGGAGTTAAAAAAAACATGAAAAAAAATATTTTTTTTCAAACTGCCGCCATTCAAACAAAAAATCTTTTTTTAACTTATCCAAGGTTCATACGATAGCGGCATCTATAATAATGAAGAATCCATCTATTTTGTATGTTTCGGATCACCAGGAAGGTTGGAATCATGCACGCCAGGACGCCCACTTTTTTTTGAGCCCCCACTTTGACAGCTCATAACTTTGTGAATTCTAATTTTTTTTCTTTAATAATTTTTTTTATATAAAAATAAAATATCAGTAAACAAATGATAAAAAAATCGATAGTAAAAATATTATTTGTTACCTTTTTACAGCGCTTCAAAAACCGGACAAAATTCATGCTTCTACAGTAGAATGCCCCCTTAAGTAAATAAATCTTTGTATAATATTCTAACATAATAATCATTAAGTTAAAATAAAAACTAGTGGGGTAAATGGCATCGTGCCTTAAGGCAAATTGCTGGAACTTCCCGAACCGTAACAAAATGATCGAGTATTATTAAATGTTTTCAAATAGATTATTAATATTGTAACATTGTCTAATATTTTTATAAGAATTATATAAACTGAATTGCAAAGTTGAAATTATTTGTTTAAAGTATATTAGAACTACAGTCAGAATTAAAAATGAAATCTGAATTATTTTCGATATACAACAAAAATTTTTTTGAAAAAAGTTGAAACAAATTTTTTTTTTCCAAAATCAATTATTTTGTTAAGACAAGCAGAAAGTTCTTTGAATCATTTAAATCGAACGCTTAGTTCTCTCAAGAACTGCCATTTTTTATATATTTAGCTCCGTATTTTCGAAATGGCTGAGCCTGTCTTTACCAAAAACTAATAAACACTTCTCCCATTATCATTACTAATTGAATGTTTTTTAGATCATTCAAATCGGATACTCCGTTCACTCAAAAAGTCGATTTCTATTTTCTGCCAAAAATCTTGCTAATAAACTCGGATTTAAATTACATGATTCAAATTTACTTTTAAGCGGTGTTGACGGCGCGTCAGTTAGATCCAGTAACTTTATTTATTGCACAATTTCGAATATTACTAGCAGTTTTCAGAAAAAATTGAAATTCGTCGTCTTAAATAAAATATCAAATTATTTGCCGTCACAGTACATGGAGAAGTCTAAATTTTCTTTACCAAAAATATGTATTTGTCGGACCAGAATTTTAATAGTCCAGGGGAGGTTGAGTTGTTAAGGGGGTATTCTACTGTAGAATTTTGAAAAAATCGAAAAAATTGTTTTTTCATATTTTCAAAGTTTAGTTATTCAAAAATATGTCATTAAAAGGATTTTTCAAAATTACTATTATTTCCTGAGTTATAGCCGTTTTAGTGACGTGGCCTCGGTTCGGGTCCGACTTATCTCAAAACTTTGAACGCGTTTTTCTCGGAACTACTTTTTTCGAGCTGGCGGTAAGGATATCTCGAGTTCTAATGAACCGATTTACTTCAAATTTGGAGAGAATCTTCTCTATACATCGCTTTATCGTATGGACCTTGCCCAAAACTATAACTTTTCATTTAGTATTTTTAAAAAATTCGGAATTGTTAAAAAAACATGAAAAAACATAATTGTTTTTTCAAACTGCCGCCATTCAATCAAACAAATTTTTTTTAACTTATCCAAGGTTCATACGATAGCGGCATCTATTATAATTAAGAATCCATCTATTTTTTATGTTTCAAATCACCAGGAGGGTTGGAATCATGTACGCCAGGACACCCTCTTTTTTGGGAACCCCCACTTTGACTGCTCATAACTTTGTGAATTTTAATTTTTTTTTTTAATATTTTTTATGTAATAATAAAATATCAATAAACAAATAATAAGAAAATCGATTGTAAAAATATTATTTGTTTCCTTTATACAGCGCTTCAAAAACCGGGCGAAATTCATGACTCTACAGTAGAATACCCCCTTAATCGGTGTTGAAATATTTTTTGAAATCCTTTTGAATGAGAAAATTATACTCGGGGAAGGCAAACCGATTTTACAAAATACTGTCTTCGGTTGGGCTATAGCAGGAAATTTAGGAAATAATTCTGGCCCGGTTGAAAAGGTTTCGGTTAATCATGTTCGGATAGAAAAGTGCAGTGCCAACGTAAATCTTAATTTATCATTACAACAAATTAAACGTGATTTTTCTGGAAGGGATTTTGACAACACTCGCATAGTTGTTCTCGTCCAATCACTGGCGTGTATGAAGAACCATCTGAACACACGTTTTTAACTCCAGGTCACTTTCTGATAGGTGACGCGTTAACTGCTTTTCCTGAACCCATTGTTGTAGATAGACTAGACTTTCATTATGGCAAAATCTAACTCGATTAGGTATGTTTTGGAAAAAATGGTCTATAGATTATTTAAGTTTGTTACAAAAACGTTACAAATGGCAATTAGAAACACCTAATATTAAAATAAATGATGTAGTGTTATTAAAGGAGGATAACTTGCCACCTTGAATTGCTTATTAGGCCGTATCACAAACGTAAATCCCAGTACTGATGGTAAAGTACGCGTAGTAACCGTAAAAAACCAAAGCTGGAATTTATGTGCGGCCTATAACAAAAATATGTCCACTACCTATTGGAGATTCTAATTAATAGTTTTACTTTATTATGTTATTTTTACTACTTTTATTAAATATGTTATTGTTAGATCCTTATCAATTATGTTATTTAAGAAATCTAGGATTAAGATAGAATTTATTTGGCTTTATTTCTAAAAAATAAATTTTTCAATAGTATAAATATACCATGAAACTAGCATTTCTATTCTAATACTAAGCTTTGTTTAGAAATTTTTTATACATATATACCAGGAATGAAATAGCCAGGAATTTAAATATCTAACATATTGGCAAAATATTCGAAATGGTGGACGACCAGCGATAATGACAGTGCGAATCGTGCCGGTAGCGAAAATTATGCCGCCTGTGGATATAATACCAACCTTGAAAATGCCTCACGCACGTATCAACCAATTTATTATCCGGTTATCGCTTTCACTATCAGTTGAGGGTGAAATTGTATGTGATTATATTATAATTTAAATAAAAAAATATTTCTATTTTTACACTATTTCATTTCTTAATTTAGAATACTAAATTCTATCTATATCAATCATATCATATCCTCATATCGATGATCCCATATCCAATGATTTTATCCAGTACTATAAATTTAATTCCTACTTCCACTGAGTTCAAGAATGTTAATTTTAAGATTTAAACCTTGATTAATTTAACTGCTTTGTTTTTAAGTTACCAATTTTATCTTTTTGAAATAAATATAAAATTTTAGACACATTTATAAAATACTATTCTGTTCACGATGTATGTTTTTTATATATGTATTTCTAAACTTCAAATTGTTACATAAACTAGATTTAAGATTAGCTAATGATCATTTCTATATGATTTCTATATTTGACTTATGCTGATTCTATTTCATCTTTTGCATTATGTCTGTTAACTTATAGTTGAGTGCTCTTCTTTTAAATTTCAAAAATTTATATTTTTTATGTATCTATAGTATAATCTGAAATGTTCCAAACTTTGGAAATTTTAGTGATGGAGTTTTGACTAAATTTATTTTTGAAATTGGTAACGATCAGTTATCTGCAGCAAACTGTGTTTTGTTAATACGGTCCACAGTCTACTAAAGTCTAGTGACTAGACAGTCCTATTAGTAAGCCTATGGCATAGGCATATCTACAGTTTTGCTCTATGAGTGAGTTGGCAACACTGCTAGAAGGTGACAAACAAAACAAAAATCCAAATGACGAACGAATTGAAGAGTAAAGCTTTATTTTGTTTGAGTTCACGCTAATCCACGAGTTTCTGTAACCTACTATAATAATTTAGAATTTTGTGCAGACATACCAAAGTTTCTGTAAGTAACTAACTAAAATAAGTTAGATATTTGTGCCTGTTTGTATCAGAATTCTGATAAAGATATCTTTCCACAAAAGATTGAATTATCAGAATTTACAAGTTTGTTTGTATCACAAATAAAGTTGTTAATTTATTATTACTGTTATTCACTATGTCTGGAAAGTTTGAAAATATCAATAAAAGCGTCATCCCTATTGCTAGAACAAGTAAAACGTGGCGTCAAAAACATTTAAATAATTTAAAATTGGCGAAAGTTGACCACGATGTTATTCTCACTGTATCCTCCCTTATTGCAGGAAGGTTATGCATTCCATTTGGGCCAAGTTTCAATTTCATGCTGCTAATTTTGGCATTGGAGGCGATAAAGTGGAAAATGTTTTATATCGTATTAAAACCGGCGAATTTTCGAATAAAAGAACTAAAATAGTGGTTATAGTGATAGGAACCAACAACACAGAACACAACAAACCCTATGATATTTATGAAGGAATTATTAATTGTGTATGCCTCATTGGAGAATTACTTCCGAGAGATGTTAATATGAAATAAAATGATTCACAATCAAGCATAAATTTCATTCCTGTATGCCTTACATATATGTTCCATTTTTGAGATAAATTTATAGTTCTTAGACCAAGATTTTAAAGTTTTAGAAAAAAATAGAGAATTTTTGTTTAGTTTGCACATTTTTATGCTTGTCACTAACTCATAATTTAGTGTTGATTCATTGATGTGTACTGCCGCAGGAACGTGTTATTAGCAGATCAACAGAGTCCATATTTGAGAACCGCGTTTCATTTAATTCAGGTGACAGTAGTAATTTAGATTTGGTTACGCAGTTTGTAATAGTGAAGTAGACGTCACTCCCCAAGCCCGTACAAATCCTAAGTTTTCATCTTTACCTTCATTACATTTTGATTTAAATAATCAAAACATGTGGAACATGGCTCCCACAACAGTTTTATCTTTACAAATGGCCATGGATATTATTAAAACTTTTGATGAACCAAATAAGAAAAAATTAAACGAATTTCTGCATACTTGTATATTATGTTTTTGAAAGTATAGATCCAACTGAGCATAAAGCACTATTAAAATTTATTTTACTCGTTAAATTAGAAGGTAGGGCTATGCAAAATCACACAATACAAAACATTCATTGGTAGCCTAAAAGCAAAGTTTTTTACAGTCTCGTTTCGTCCCTTTTTGCATTTGTTAAATTCTATTTGAAGATTTAAAAACCTGATTAGAGGAAACTTACATTGAATTGGTACACTCTCTTCAAACAGAGTTCATATAACTAGCTGTGAATTTAAAATCTATACCGATCAGCAGTTTCGTGAAAAAGTTCTTTTTATTGTAACCCTAATATTTTTTTGTTCGATAAACATAACCTGAATATATGTAACTTAAAAAATTTATGATATTATAGCATGTGAAACATGAAACTGAAATAAAAGTAGTGCACTTGCTGGTAAATCGATATTTATAAATCGTTCAGATATTGAAAATAAAATATTCCACTAGAGTTTGCATGGCACAAACATTAACATAAAAAGAAAATGAATCTAATATTAAAAAAATACAAAAAAATGGAACGTATAAAGAACCAGAAAATATCGATAAAGTATTTTTGTGTCTAATACATATAATAATATAAAAATAAGAACTTCACCTATTACAAAATGTGCAGCATCTTGTATGCTCAAAAATAAACCTTATGCCGCGCAATATATGTGTATATGAAATATAGTGGTAAGTAGAAACATATGAATGTATAATTATAAGACAAAATACTTAACTATATATAAAGAGATAATATGTCCTCTTATATTATTATATATAATTATTGTAATTATATTATTAAATCGAGTTATATAATTTTGCATTCAAATTACCACTTTGATATATTAATTTGTATGTATTGTTGATATGTTTTTGAGTGTCGGTTGTTTTCCAATTAGAAATATTGGTCAAAAACAAAGACAATACTATTACAATTTACGCATTTCATGATGTGTTGCCTGTTGAATATTAAAAATTAGTTATATGTATTTTATTGCTTGGGTAAATAGTAATTAATTATCCTCCAAAATTTTCTCAATATTTGCAATTGTGAATACAAATGGTTAATATCGGTTTTAAAAATCGTGTAATGAGTACGAGATCGATTTTATTCAGCTTCACTTTTTATTTTTATAATATCCATGCTGCATCTCATGTCTCCATTTCCATCATATGACTTCACAAATTTAGTGATATATGTTAAACCAATAAATAATTTGTCGAAGATTGGAAATAACTTGTCCCAGAGATCAGGTAAGTCAGATGAGGGTTCCAAGATTTTGGCATCATAACTTAGTTATTTCTGCAAGTATTAAAATATCTTCGTTTGTCAATAAATTATACCACTTAATCCATGGTTAAGATATCAGTATTATATATTTCATTTGAGTTAATATTTTTTACTGTTATTGTCACCGATTTAAAATACCTCAAAATCCATTGGATGTGTTAAAATTTCTTCGACTAAACTAAGAATACCACTTTTTTTAAAACACGTGTTAATGTTGTGTTAATGAAAGAAAATCAATAATCTCTAATGCCCATGCTCTTTCTATTTGGTCGAAAACTATTTTCACAATCAGTAAGATAAATTTGAATGTCTTTGACTAGATTGTAAAAAGCTTCGCAAAATTTCTTACACAGATGTTTCAAGTCACTCGTCGGTTAGGCGTATCAATCAAATTATTAGTATTGGTAGTATCACAATGGTCATTAAAAATCCATTGACTCCTTTCATGACATGTTTTAGGCTCATGTTATTTCATGTAGAAGCAAAACTATTTATCATTTGCTTTGTATCAAATTGATACCATTTTTCACATCGAAATAATATGACTAAACATTTAAATTGTTTCACTTCCAATAATACTTTTTGTTCTTCAACAGGAGGCAATAAAATCGCAATTTGATGTCATGAAATTATCAGTCGTTATTAGTATTAACCCTCTTTCACGATCTATTGTTGATAAATTAAGATAATTATATGTATGAATTTTTATAACTGCTGTAATATAATTAATGGCAGCGTTTTTACTTTAATTCAATAATCCATTATATTTTGTTTCATCAACGTAATAATTTCGCATCATTATCATATTTCATTTATAGCACTACTTTCACCATAATCTTATTTTCCTCCTGTTATTTAATATTTCCCAATTTGTTTAGTTAGCGTTCGGCAATCAAAATTTCTATCCAAATCCTATACATTAGAACAAATTTCACATATTCAAAGACGTCACATATTTAATATGAAAAAACATAATTTAAGAAAACTACCGACACTTTACATCAACAATGCAATACTTAATTTGAATAATTTTTTGTACTTGAAATGATGCGCAGATCTTTAAGATTAACTTTTGTTCAACAAGAAGCTCATAAACAAATAAAATTATGTTTGTTCAAATAGTAGCACATACAACTAAACTATTTAATATCCGAGAGTATCCGTGAATGTAAGCTCAAATAGTGGCACATGTAAGTATATTTAAAAATTAATAAAAAAAAACAATCGCAAACCATTTTCTCGATTTTCTGGAACATGAGTTATGCTTTTATGTGATGGATTTCCATGCAAAACTCTACCAAAGGAAAACACAAAATACAATATTATTTAAATTAAATATAATTTACTAGATGGTTACCATTTTTCAGGTTAGGTTTTTCGTACATTTTCTTATTTTCTTTTATTCCATAATACCCTAATAATACATTTTAAACAAAACAATTGCAACAAAGGTTTTTCAAGATATATTTGCATTACGAGGTCCAATATTGAATTGAAAAACTATACTTAAACTGGCTACGTTCCCAACAGTACCGTTTGTACCACTAGTTTATGAAAAAGCATCAGTATTGTCCTGAATCGCGTTTCCATTCACAAACTTTTGTAAGTTATCAACTTTTTGATTTAAAATTTGTTGTACTCTTTTCTTAGATAAATCAGTAACTTACTTTTTTTTAGGACATAGGTTGCAGTGTTTTTATTTTTAGTTTATTTGAATTCTTAGCTTCGTATGAAAAAGCCAGAAGAGCGGCAGCGGATAGTAAAGCCTCGCAAAGTGATGAGCCGCGAGGAAGATGTCGCGCAAAGGGACCAAAAGGGTGTTTGAAAGTAAAGTTGAGGAAGAGAAAGATTATTGTGAGTAGTTACTTTTATAAAATTCTTTGTATCATATTTATTCGACTAATGTTCTTGCAGCTGACACAGAATTTAATTTAATTTTAAATTCCAGGCAGATGGCAAGAAAAAAGCAGGATATAACAAAAGAACAAAACACTTGATCAAGGCACACAAAAAGAGGAACCTCTGCCTGTAGAGGCCTTGATGGAAAGATTGACCCGCATAGAATATGAGTGATTCATAGTTATTGTGTCTTAATTATTATTTAATCTTGTCAATTTTTAATAGATTCCTTTCGGTACTACGTAAAGGAGAGTAAAATATATAATGATAGCTTGGTAACTGCTATCAAGGCATTACTCATTCCGTAATAGTGTCCAGCAGGAGGATGAAAACATTTGTGAGAAGTTTTTCCCATTAAAAATTATAGAAAATATTAAAGACTGCGAAGTGCTTTTCCAGAATGAACTGCAAAAAGCACTGAATTGATGAGTTTTTTTGTTTGTACAAAATTTTTGAATTTAATTTTGCAATACTCTATTTTCAGCTAAAGTATCTTACTCGTATTGGAGGGAGCAGGCAGATCATAGTGATTTTTTTTAAAAAAAACTTATTCACTAAGGAATTGGCTGCAGAATGCACATGGTTTAGCAGAAAGGATAACTTTCCATTAAAAGATTTATTTTTAATTAAAATTTTTAAAGGTATTTTTGCATTAGATTAAAATGTTGAAATAAAAAGTAATTATTAACTGTTACTAATAACTTCTTTCTCTCAGTTGCAGCCTGAATGGCTTATGCCAAAATGAACAATCAAGTCTTTGAAGCTGCTTCGCTCTAAAAAAAAGATTTTTAAGTGTCATTCAAAATTTGCTATGCGTGGGAAGGTAAAGATCGGGTTTCATGGCCTAAGTTGAACTAGTAATGTTGGCAAAGTTTGTATGGTCAGAATTAGTTTTGTTCAGTGGAGATAAATTTGGAAACATTGTTAAGTTAAGATATAAAGATGACACTTGACCATCACGGCATGATGGCGGGAACGTTTGAAAGCAAGTACAGAAAAAGTTAGATTTTCTTCTACAAATTTGAAAATAAAATATATATTTCAAAACATTTTTTCTTGTTGTTGCCAAATTGAAGCAAATGTTAAATTTACAACAATATAACCAAGTGTACGAAGTGAAGTTTCCTATGTACCGGAAAGTTGTTGGATATTTGACATGAAGTTGTAAAGAGTTATAAGTAAACAAAAACGAGAGAGAAACAAACATGGCGTGTCGTGCGTATATAAGTGTGTTTTTTCTTGCAATTCGTTTTATGCTGTTAAAGTTCCGAAGAGGCAGAAGTTATACTGTTCA